TCTTTTTGATTCTCAGTTCATCTCACTTCAGATAATCGATTATTTTAAAGAATAATCAATTATTTTGTTCTTCATGATTTCTGGAAACCACTCAATAACAAAATAATTGATTAGTTTGCAAGATAATCGATTATTCTAGAGAGTACTTCCTGGAATAATCAATTTTTTTCACAGATAATCGATTATTACAGCAAGGCTCTTTTCACCTTTTGCTGGAATAATCGATTACACTTAATGATAATCGATTATTTTGAGTTAGCTTTCAAAAACTCAATTTTATACTTCAAAAATCTTTCCAAGTATCTTGAAATCATCTTCATACTCACTCTTAGTCAATTAAATTAAGATTAACTTATGCACAAATCATACACATGCAAAATAAACTTATCAAAACAATACAACACATAAGAACTTATAAGCTACTCCTATTACACATCATGATATTCATATCTTCCTTTTGTTGACTGGTATGTGTCATTGGTCAGCTTCAACTCCCCCCCCTCTTGGATTGTGCCATTCTTTTCTAACAGTCACTTCAAGAAACGAGGCAGCCCCCTGTCAATACGTGGCACTTGGCGTAAGGTGTGAAACGAAAGGCCACAACCCTTCACTTGGACAACAAACTTGGCATAAAACTCATCACCCCAAAAGTACTCAGAGCTCGGGGGCTAGTGTACTACCCACGAAGTGCCAAGGACCAGCTCGGCCCAAATCGCACTAACTTCAGTCCTATGCACGAGCCCACAACGCTCGATGCACTTAATGGGCCACAGCCAATCTTGGGCCAAAGTCAACCTCGCTCTCACCTAAAGGAAAAAACCCTAAAATCACCAAGGTACGTCTGTTATATATATGAGACATCTACACTATCAAGTACTAACTTTAGCATCGGAGTCTCTTTTGCAGGTACCATCCCCATCTCGACACGACCGACGTACCCAGTAGAAGAGGTTCACCAATCTCATCGGAGAGGTCTCCCCCAGATCGATCTCAGGTGAGAACATGACACAAATTTTTCACCCTTTTATGACACCCGAAGGAAAGGTTCGTACCTGAAACAAAAAATGTTGACCATTTTAGGCACCCAAAGGCACGTCCCATCACAAACGACACCGTTGTTCTAGGATCACACCCTTAGAATCGATTACCCATGCTCAAACCCCTTCATCCTTCCTCTTCGAGCTTGGGAGGAACTGTACTGGGATAAAAAATGAGCAAACCACTCGGCCACTTTCTAGGCCGAGTACCCTCACCCAGATCGAACACTCTGTAAATAGCCATTAAGAATAATACCCCATGAAGAACCCTTCGATCATTGTGTAAACTGAGCACCCCTCTGCCCATCATGCAAATCGAGCACCCCACGAACCCCTCAGCCATCAAACAAACTGAATACCCCTTCAGCCATCAAACAAACCAAATACCCCTTCGGCCATCAAATAATCTGAGTATGTGCCCGACCAAAGGGAAGACCAAAATCTTCTCATCATTTGGACTACCATGTCCTAATCACGATTAAGTGATAAGTACCCATATTGTCTTAGATTAAGACATAATGCTTTGATAACTTACATCTTAATCCAAAAAGTCTATTAGGTCCAAATATGTCACTATAAATATAGGGATGATGGGATAAGAAACATAGGTATGATTATTTAATACTACAATATTTGTTATTCTGATATGAATACTCACTTGAGCGTCAAAGTGCCTTTGTAGGTATCCTTCTCACCACTCAGATTGAGGATTCAAGCAGTTATTACCTTAGGATTGAAGGCCAAGATCGAGATTATAACAAAATATCATAAAAATAAATATTTTATGATAAATATTATACAAAACAATATTTAAAAGAGAGCTTCATTTGAAAAATTCAGTCTTAGAAAAGTTTAAGTGGAATAAAGATCCTAAATACTCTGATAATTTTTTAAAGGGTCATAGAATCCAATTCACCCCCCCTCTTGGATTGTGCCATTCTTTTCTAACAGTCACTTCAAGAAACGAGGCAGCCCCCTGTCAATACGTGGCACTTGGCGTAAGGTGTGAAACGAAAGGCCACAACCCTTCACTTGGACAACAAACTTGGCATAAAACTCATCACCCCAAAAGTACTCAGAGCTCGGGGGCTAGTGTACTACCCACGAAGTGCCAAGGACCAGCTCGGCCCAAATCGCACTAACTTCAGTCCTATGCACGAGCCCACAACGCTCGATGCACTTAATGGGCCACAGCCAATCTTGGGCCAAAGTCAACCTCGCTCTCACCTAAAGGAAAAAACCCTAAAATCACCAAGGTACGTCTGTTATATATATGAGACATCTACACTATCAAGTACTAACTTTAGCATCGGAGTCTCTTTTGCAGGTACCATCCCCATCTCGACACGACCGACGTACCCAGTAGAAGAGGTTCACCAATCTCATCGGAGAGGTCTCCCCCAGATCGATCTCAGGTGAGAACATGACACAAATTTTTCACCCTTTTATGACACCCGAAGGAAAGGTTCGTACCTGAAACAAAAAATGTTGACCATTTTAGGCACCCAAAGGCACGTCCCATCACAAACGACACCGTTGTTCTAGGATCACACCCTTAGAATCGATTACCCATGCTCAAACCCCTTCATCCTTCCTCTTCGAGCTTGGGAGGAACTGTACTGGGATAAAAAATGAGCAAACCACTCGGCCACTTTCTAGGCCGAGTACCCTCACCCAGATCGAACACTCTGTAAATAGCCATTAAGAATAATACCCCATGAAGAACCCTTCGATCATTGTGTAAACTGAGCACCCCTCTGCCCATCATGCAAATCGAGCACCCCACGAACCCCTCAGCCATCAAACAAACTGAATACCCCTTCAGCCATCAAACAAACCAAATACCCCTTCGGCCATCAAATAATCTGAGTATGTGCCCGACCAAAGGGAAGACCAAAATCTTCTCATCATTTGGACTACCATGTCCTAATCACGATTAAGTGATAAGTACCCATATTGTCTTAGATTAAGACATAATGCTTTGATAACTTACATCTTAATCCAAAAAGTCTATTAGGTCCAAATATGTCACTATAAATATAGGGATGATGGGATAAGAAACATAGGTATGATTATTTAATACTACAATATTTGTTATTCTGATATGAATACTCACTTGAGCGTCAAAGTGCCTTTGTAGGTATCCTTCTCACCACTCAGATTGAGGATTCAAGCAGTTATTACCTTAGGATTGAAGGCCAAGATCGAGATTATAACAAAATATCATAAAAATAAATATTTTATGATAAATATTATACAAAACAATATTTAAAAATATTTATTATTTAATTAAAATACTCATAATTATTAAAAATCTCTAAAACATTTTGTAGAACCTCTTTAATTATTTAAAATAGTTATAAGACAATAACCTAATAAATATAAAAATAAGTAATAAATAAACCATTATATTAATAAAAAATTCAAAGTGTTACATTATTCCATATGTTAATTATTTTAATACTAAATTTAATTTAAAACTAATAAGTATATATCTATTTAATAAAAATAATATATTTTAAGTAAATGAATTATATAATGTATTACTTAGTTTACTTTCATATCTCTCTCAAAAAGAAAAACTTTCATACAATAACTATAAACATACAATCACATTTTTGTCTTTCATTTTTATTAACTCTATTTTTTTTAATAAAACACTAATATTATATTACCTGTTTAAAAAATATATTAAATAATAGGAAATGTTATCTTTCTCTAAAAGATACAAATATTACATCACTCTTCCCTTTTATGTTAAAACTTATAGTTCTTTCTCCACAAATTATAATATACCATACTTTACACATGTTTTAAATTTTTTCATTAAATTTTTGTTAACCTTCATTACAAAAAAAAAATATTACCAATATCATTTTCACTATCATCTTCTTATAGATGTAAATATTATACCGTCATTCTTTCTATATTAAAATAAACATTTTCTTCTCTTAATAAATATAAATATTACACTTGAACAATTTATTTTTGGGTAAAAAAATTATCACTTTATTTACATATTTAATTATTATTTAAAAATTTATTATGACTTTTCTAAAATTAATTATATTTAAAAAAAATATTTTAATTATTAAAATATTTAAAGTTATAAAAAAATGTATATGAATATAATAAAATCAAATATGTATTACGATAGTATTTAATTAATGTAATATTTTAAAAGTTTTTAAATAATATTTTATTATATAGGTTAATTATATATATATATATATATATATATATGTTAAATTAAGTTAATATATAAGATTAAACATGTTATTTAATGGATTTTATTAACAAAATATTTTAAGAAATATCTAAATAAATAGGTGTTTTCTAATTAAATACTATTTATT